CAACTGTGACTATTACTATATTGCTATTATATACTTACTCATGATGCTGGGCCAACTAATAGTGCTTAATAGTGCTTGTAACATGGGTACTCTTGCATACAGTGGAATGTGCATTAGACTGCAGATTTGTACTTGTAGCTCCTCCTTAATTTATTTCTCTTCTTTTCAGTGTTTTGTTTTTCACCTACAAGTGCCTAGTCATCACAGTGTATTGCCAGTGAACTAATGTTCAGATTGTGTAGCATATTATTATAAAGCATATAGCTAGGCCTATGATTTTATAAATATTTTTACTGCATTCTATATCATCCTTACGTTAATTTTGTTATTATTTTATGCATGTTTGTGTGCTTATAACTATATCTAGAGTTAGTAATCTCATACAAGTGACAGTTCATAATATACAATGGATGTCGGTGATATTGCACTTTGCCCAGTGACTATTACTCTATTATTATGATAACAGTTAGACTTGTTACTATAAACCTACTCTTAATCTACTATCATATCTATAATTTACTCAGAATGTGCACTACAAGACAGCAGATCTGCTTACATTCCTCCTTTTAGCTCCATAAATCCTTGACTTACAGGATGTATTTATTCGCTTCTTACTCTCTTCCCCAGGATAACAACACCTCCAGCAACAGTGATTGTGATATTTGGAACACTGGGAGTACAAGTACCATAATACAAGGAGTTTGTGGTATTCTAGGAGTCATAACATGTACAGTGGCCCTGGTCTTTGCAATAGTCAGTAGATTCTATAAAGATATTGTACAAAGACTGATATTATACAAACTGGTGGCAATGTTAGTCTTCTCATTATCTCAAATAATGTCTTTCAAATTTGATAGTGAATCAATCACATACAAAACATTTGCTATAGCTATTCTACATATTACCTACTCCTCCAATTTAGTGTTCACCTTCTGGTTAACTATTACTCTATACCTATGTATTGTATACCTCAAGGAATTGAAAAACTTTAAGAAATTGGAACTGATTGCAATCATAACTTTATGCTTTGCTATAGCTGCATATATCCCCTTCGCTATAGAGTATTCTTGCACTCAAACAATTCATTATATAGTGTATGGTACTGCTGGGATATTATACGTCATTATGTCAGTACTGGTTATCATTATATTCATTGTAACAATCAGAAGATCACGAAGACATCACCAAAGACAAGAAGACAGTGAAGCAGAGTCTCTACTGGTCACTGATAACAAATGGAAAATACTCAGCAAGCAGTTACTACCACTAGTAGTGTATCCAATAGCTAATGCAGTAATTGCTGTGATCTTCCTGCTCTCTTTTTTTACTTCTCAAGGCGTACAATTCTATCTTGACTCATTAGTATCCTCTTCTAGTATAATCACTGGTACTATTGTCATAATACATTTATGTATATTGAAGTGTAAGAAACAAAGAGAAAGGAAGAGAATGGAAAAGAGCAACAGGGAACAGCAAGAACCTTTCTGTGTAGTGCCCAGTAATCACAATGATGTCTTCACAAGAGAAACAGTTGCTTCATCAGGTGCACGTACTACATACCAATGCACTCATACATCAAGCTTCATGTCAGTTACTGATGATCAGCTACCAAAAATTAACTAACTTTATTAATGAATTAGTAAGAAATGTTGTTTTTTTTGCAAAAATATTTTCGAACCTAAAAGTACAACAAATACGAACATTACGGTGGGTTGGGCTCTTTAGCTTTCACATCATTGGATTGTACAGAAGATTGCCTAATCCTGCGACAAGAGTTTCAGTTGGTTTATTTTGTGAAGTGGGTGATTTATTATTGAGGATAACAACTATTAGGAAGCAGCTGTTACTCCTTATAAGGAAGGTAAGGGAGATGTCCTTGAGTGAAATCTCCTGTACCTTATCATAAGATCTACAACTCCTTCACATGTGTAACACTGCACACATTACAATAACAATGCACCTGATTAGCATGAGCTTCATGACTTGACTATGATAGTGGATGCCTTTTGGAGCAACTTATAAAATTCATAAAAAATCCAAATTTCGATTGGATTTTTTTAAATCAGTTGTCACGTGCAGTTTTATTAACATGATTCAGTTGATTCTGTATCATTAGTGTGTTCATGTAACTTGTTGATTGCATTGCAAAAATTTTAACAGCTGCATCTATATTAACTGTTTCATAACTTCCTATTGTTGTTTTGTGCTAGTCAATCGTGTGAGATAAAAATTTGTAATTATAGTACAGATTCGTCTTCGATTCTCATTATATTCGACTGATTCGAAAGACATGGGTAACGATAACAGCTGTTATTATCTAAATAATGCTACAGAACTTCGAAGAGACATAATGGAAGGAGTTGGTGGTGGTCTTGGAGCTATTGCATGTACAGTGGCACTGGTCTTTGCAATAGCCAGTAGATTCTATAAAGATATTGTACAAAGACTGATATTGTACAAACTGGTTACAATGATAGTCTTCTCTCTGTGTCAAGTTCCGTTAGTTATTATTCATAATGACACAATAGGGTATATAGTTATTACTATACTAAGTCAAATTCCCTACTATATCAACATGATGTTCACCTTCTGGTTAACCATTATCCTCTACTGTTGTATTGTACACCTCAAGGAATTGAGAATCTTTAAGAAACTGGAACCAATTGCAATCATATCATCATGCTTGTTTTCTCTTGTGAGTCTTGTTTTCATTCCACTCACTTATATTGACTGCTCTGAAGATAAATGGAAAATTGACTTTTCAAAATCAGCTAACGATTCAACATACAGTTTAACCCTCTACATTGTAACTTGTTACAGTACTGCTGGGATATTATACTTCATGATATCAATACTGAGTGCTATTGCTTTTATTATAACAATCAGAAGATCACAAAAGCATCTCAAAAAACAAGATGATGACAATGAAGCAGAACCTCTACTGGTTACTAATAGATGGAAAATACTTAGCAAACAGTTATTACCACTAGTAGTGTATCCAATAGTTAATGCAGTAATAGCGATAATCTTGAATAGCATTGTTTTAGCGAGTTTAGAAGATTCTAAAAATGTATATCTCTTGTCATTAATATCTTCTTCTGGTCTAATCACAGGTATTATCATAATAATATATTTAAGCGTGTCGAAGTTTAAAAAGAAACAAAGGGAGAAAAAAATGACTTTACGAAAAACTTTCTGGTCTAGCAATCATGATGACATCTTCACAAGTGAAACAGTTGCTTCAACTGATGCTAGTACTGCCTACCAGTACAATCGTACATCAACTTTTACATTGAGTGTATTAAACTAACGTTTCAATTAGATTTGTGTAGACATAACTTTATTATAGATCTAGCTAGAACTATATTGTATAAAGTGCAGGTACAATTTATATGATTTACGTTTATAACTTCTTTAATTTGTGATTGTATTTTACAAGTAAAATTTGTAACAGATAGAAAGCAATGCATAACATGCATGTAACTTATAAGGATACAACAGTTTTGGTTGTTCATGCTAGCTAAAGGTGTCTAATTCTGAGCCAGCACATTTTCTTTCTCCTAAGCATGGATAATGACAGCAACTCCTCAAGCTACAGCAAATTATGTGATGATTGGGAGATTGTGGATGCAGTTACAATAATGGAAGGAGTTAGTGGTGGTCTAGGAGCCATAACATGTACAGTGGCACTGGTCTTTGCAATAGTCAGTAGATTCTATAAAGATATTGTACAAAGACTGATAGTGTACAAACTGGTGGCAATGTTGGTCTACTCATTATCTGAGATAGTGTCTTTTAGATATGATTATGACTCAGAGATTTATAAAGCAACGACTTTAGTTATTCCAAATATTGTCTACTGTGTTAATCTAGTACTGACATTCTGGCTGACAGTTATCCTTTATCTTTGTATTGTACACCTCAAGGAATTGAAAAACTTTAAGAAACTGGAACCGATTGCAATCATAACGTCATTCATTCCACTTGTCATAGCTGGTTCTATTCCATTCATCAAGTATGACGATTGTTCGGAAACTTTGCATGTTCAATTCACAGAAGATGGAAGAAATTATTATCAGCTTTATATAATAGCGTACGGTACTGCTGGTATATTATACTTTATAATATCAGTACTGGTTGTCATTATTCTTATTGCAGCAATCAGAAGATCACGAATATCCCACAAAAGACCGGATGAGTCACTGCTGTTAGCTAGTTTCAGCAATAGATGGAAAATACTCAGCAAGCAGTTACTACCACTAGTAGTGTATCCAATAGTTAATACAGTAATGGCTGTGATCTTCTTTCCACTCATAGTTCACTATTATACTGCTAAAACCTCCATAGGCTCCATCTTCTATGCACTGATCAGTACTTCAGGTATAGTGACAGGTTGTATCGTAATGCTCCATCTCTTAATACTCAAATGGAACAAGAAGCAAAAAGAGAGAAAGAGAAGAAAAGAGCGTGAGATGGCAGGAGCTTTTTGTATAGTACCTAATTCTTATACTGATAAATTCACAAGGGAAACGGTTGCTTCAACAGATGCTGGTACTATGTACCAATTTACTCGCACGTCAAGTTTTAATGACGAGGAAACTACCACAATAAATTGAAGTAGTATACTATTCACATCTTTAATTATTAATAATACATTTAGTAAGTATATTATTGTAGATTAATTATAGTCATTGACTGCTTTATTGTTCTGTCATTGTTCTAATAAGACTATTGTTATATAAACTGTAAGAAGGGAGACAATGCAACAGCCAACAGAGCAAAAACGTGATAGAGTAAAGTAATAAATTAGTGATAAAGTTATAGCCATAAAATTTGATAAACTATGTGTGTGTAGATGCTAGCACACTCTATTCTTTTGCTCTGTTGGCTGTTGTATTGTGTCTTCTGCTTACAGTTTATGTAACAATAGCAAATTTAATGATTCAATGTTTACAATACTATAGTTGAGAGCTATAAGATGTTAGTGGGTTAGATTGTGATTGTTTTTTGAATTACTGATGAGATAAACAAGAATAAAATACAATTAATGACAACAATGTTCAGTTAGAGAGGTCAGAGTACAAGAGAAAGGAACAGCATTTTAATCATTCAAGACCTCCAGCCCATCATCAGAAGTTAAGGATAGATCTTGTTTAAGATCAATGTCAGTAGGTACATCAGTAGGAGATACCTGTACAATAGATGGACAGTACTTTGATGTGTGTTTAGTTACAGTTTATACAAGTAGAGAAGTGTGTACAGAAGTGTTAACCACAATGTAGTGCAACCCACGATAGCTTTTACAAATATCAGAGTATATAATGAGACTTGGAATGGATGAGCACTGTATCTTCAATCGATTCGTTCCTAGTGTTTCTACAAATTTTTGAATGGGGTCTATGTACCCCTACTAGGCTATAATATATGTAACACTAATGTAAAACTGTAGTACTTACACACAAGTTATAATAATACTAATAATAATGGTATTATTATTCAAAAAACACTATGATAGTAAAGAAATGCTGTATATATGTACATGTATTTGTGATTTAGCTAAAGAACACATCAAAGTAGCAAAGCAAAGTACATGTACTTTAACATGTAACATGCATACATACTTTTGATTTGAAAGGAGTAACAATTGATTTATTAACAAAAGGTGGTGGTGAAGGTTTGCGACCGGTTGATCTCAGTGGAGTGTACGGGGTCTGGAGTGGTTTTAATATTGAGCGTGGGGGCCCACTGGGACCGGGGGTGGTATAATGAGAAGATTTCTTGTGTGAGGGTTTACGAGTTGAGAGAGAGAAAGGGGTTGAATTTAAACGAAGAAAGAATGAGTCCACTGATAAATAAAAATAAATAATTAAAAAAAACAAATAAAATAAATAAATTTTTACTCACAATCTGACGTGGTTTTGCCGGGTGTGGCAAACACAGAGCTGTCAAGTTGTTGGGTTAAAAACGTTGCCTTCTTGTCTTCAAAATTACGACGCTTAAAAAATTAAACGATACAATCAGTGCAAAATTATGACTGACATTCAGTAAAAATTATAACTCAAACAACTCTAAATTTTATGGGTGTGGGTATATATTTTAAAGCTCTTACTTCTCGATCAAGCTGTCTAGCTAGCAGACCTAGTCTCTCCTCTTCGTTTTTAAGATGTTCCTCATGATTTTTATTCTTTTCTTCTCTTAAAACAAGCATCTCTTCTTTCTTTAAAAACTTGGACTCATTCTGGGAGAGAGAGAGAGAGGGGGGGGGGAGAAGTGGTTAAACAATATTATTAATGACTAACTAAAAATCCAGCCCCACCAGGATCAGAAGAGCTCTCTTCCAGCTGCTTCTAAAGAAATACGCTCACTTTAAATAATTAATTGATGTCTCCTACTTCAAGCAGCAACTCTTGTTGGCTAATGATGTCACGATAATCTGAAAGTTTCTTTTCCAAATCCTCAATTTCTTTGTCGTAAGATTCACTTGACGAGGAGGCGTGGCCTTTCTTTAACGAGACAATGTACTCACGGAGACGATCGTATTTATCACGTAAATTCTCTTCTATATCTGTAAAAAGAATTACTAATAATTTACTGGAAGTATACCAATACATGAACAGTAGTATACTGAGTTATACTGACATACCCTGTCTAACAATATCATATGGCATCTGATAGTGTCCGCTATCAAGAAGCTCCTCTCTCTCTCTTTCGTGAACACTTGACTCCACCTCTTCCTCTGCCTACACAAATTAATATTCATTAATATTCATTATTATTAATTAATTACCTTATTAATGAAGCTGTGACTTGGTGACGATAATGAACTAAAATATTTATAATTTAATAAAGTGACGAGCTCTTTCTCCATGTTACATAAGGAATCTCTTAAACTAGAGTTCTCTAAAATTAGCTCCTGAAGAATAAAAAAAAAAAGAATAAAAATACTTAAATATTATTATTATTAATCACAAGCTAAAATGATACCAAGTGCATACAAAAATAAACAATATGTGACCATAATTGACAAAAGGTACCTTATGGCGGATATTAAAATTCATCTTTATAACAAAAAATATCAACCTGTGAGTGCTCTGTTAGTCAACAATTGTTTCTATAAGTTACATAGTAACTTTTTGCATCCTCTGGAGTAATTTCATGATAAATGGAGCTCAGGAACTTGGATTTTTTAGGCTTTAAAGACCAATTTTCCTATCCGCCATAAGGTACCTTTTGTCAATTATGGTCACATATTATTATTATTATTATTATTATTATTATTATTATTATTCATGTAACTACATCTTAATTCTCATACCTTCTGTTTCTCTTCATAATGATTCACTACTAATCTATAAGCACTGATGTCCCTAATGAAATAATTGAAAGTATTAATTGGAACCAGTTTAAGCAGTTTTTAAACTGTCATTAATATAATTTCATTGTTGTATTAGATCAGGGCAATTATGGTGTATTGCCCATTCAAAAATTAACTGCAATTAACTGCACAATAATATATACATGATTCACAGCCGTGACTTACTGCTGGTCTCTTTATAAATGCATAAAACGTTATGATGCTATCGTGGGTCGGACTATAATGATATTCATTACTTGTTACTGAGGCTTGTAACACGTAGTTGGAATCCACTCAAAATTATTATCATACGTAGCATATATCAACAGTATATTAATTATTAGTTTAGCTATAACTTGAATAATATTAATCAGAATCAGCTCAAACTTTCTACACAGCATAAGGACATCAATGTGTATCAGAAAATGTAATAAAAATTGGGGGTGATTTCGGAGCCATTTTTTGGAAAAAACCATGGACTATAGCCTTGGGTATTTATCAGATTTTTGGCATTTTCTTAAAATGGCCGTAACTTGAAAAATTAAAGTCGGAATGAGCTCAAACTTGCTACACAGCATAAGGACATCAATATATCTCAGAAAATGTAATAAAAATTGGAGGTAATTTCGGAGCCATTTTTTGGAAAAAACCATGGGCTATAGCATCAAGGTCATTTCAAACATATACTATACACTGTATAATTGTACACATACTCAAATCCTCTTGCTCCTCCTACTCCTCCTCCTCCTCCTCTGCTGCTGCTTGATACTTGTAAAGTGTTGAGTAGTTTCATTCCTAACTTCTTCTCTTGATTCTTATTTAACACCAACTACAAATACACACAGTAAAGAAGTATATACTACAACTAACAATCTAATAGAAATAGACTTTGGAAAAAATCCAAATGTGATTGGAATCAGTTCAAACTTTCTATGCAACATAAGTACATGTATATGTATCAGGAAATGTAATAAAAATTAAGAATTCTCTCCTTTTCATTTTTGGCAAAATTTGGCCCGAGACCATGTACTATAGTACAGGGACTTTTGTCCGATTTTGGAGCAACTTTAAAAATTCGTAAAAAATCCAAATTTGATCGGAATCAGCTCAAACTTTCTATGCAACATAAGAACATGTATATGTATCAGGAAATGTAATAAAAATTGAGAATTCTCTACTTTTCATTTTTGGCAAAATTTGGCCAGAGACCATGTACTATAGTACAGGGACTTTTGTCTGATTTTGGAGAAACTTAAAAAATTCGTAAAAAATCCAAATTTGATCGGAATCAGCTCAAACTTTCTATGCAACATAAGAACATGTATATGTATCAGGAAATGTAATAAAAATGGAGAATTCTCTACTTTTCATTTTTGGCAAAATTTGGCCAGAGACCATGTACTATAGTACAGGGACTTTTGTCTGATTTTGGAGAAACTTAAAAAATTCGTAAAAAATCCAAATTTGATCGGAATCAGCTCAAACTTTCTACGCAACATAAGTACATGTATATGTATCAGGAAATGTAATAAAAATGGAGAATTCTCTACTTTTCAATTTTGATGAAATTTGGCCAGAGACCATGTACTATAGTACAGGGACTTTGGCCTGATTTTGGAGCAACTTTAAAAATATTTCCAGTACAGTTTCTGTATTGCCATAGCCTACTACAACTACCCTAAGACCTCCTCCTCACCTGCCCTAGCCTCTCGTTAAGTCTGTGATACTCTCTCTCCTTCTTTCTCAGTTCATGTTCATACTGAAGCTCCTTCTGACTCATCCTGTGCTGGACCTTATGATACTCTTCTTCTTGAGACTTCAACTGAAGAGACAGCGACCGATTCCTCGAGAGGACCTGTCTCTCCTTCTCCTTCGCCTGAGCCAACTTCCTCTCCAGCTCCTCAATCTGAGTCTAGGGGAGGAGGGGTCGGTTACCATAGCAACGGCATTACCGTAGCAACGGTCGTCACGGTTACCTTCATCCGACTGTTTGCTTCGTATTGAAGAGTAAGGTCACTCCTAAGTCTTTGTAAACTGAAAATTAATAAAAAATAATTTAATTAAAAAATAATTATTAATTATTTCAATATTACCTGAGGCTCATAGTTTCGTTCCTGTTATTAGATTCTCTGTACTGCTTTATGAGGTCATAGAGGGTGTTCAACATTTTAGAAGAAGACGGGACCTCCTTATTCTCTTTATCTGAATCAGACATTATTGACTGGAATCCAAACACTTCCAACTCCTAAAAAATCAAGAAATAAGAATATATAAATATATAATAATAATATTTTTGCCTGATTAATGTAAATGGCTGCTTCAGTGACATTGTCTTCAGTACAGAATATAATCTCCTCCTCATCCTCCGCCTGCTCCTCGGGCTGGTTGTGCCTCAGGTAAGGATACAGGAGAGATGATGGAGACGAACCTACTGAACTCTCTGACGCCATGTTGTATCTGAATTGCCCGCCTCACACTCACAGGAACTACGCATGCGCAGTACAGCCTCCCAGGCTCCTCCCTTCCCTGTAGAGGACCTGTTTCAACATGGTGAGTGCTAGTGAATGTACTTCTTTATCTTATGCTATCCATCGATAGAAAGAGAATATCTTATATTGCATGATGTATTTTACATGTATTTCATTGTATGTTAATATAATTAATGATAAATATTGCTACTGGAGCCTGCTTTTTAATATAATAATAATTATTAATTTTATTTATTATTTCTGCCATTGTACCTTGTATGTTGTATGGTAGTGCAATGGGTATGTTAATTTATTTTAATGCTATATTAATAGCAAGTTTTAAAAATTTATTTATATTTAAATCCTTTTGTTGACGATTGGTTTGTTACTATTTTTAGACTAAGGGTACCTCAAGTTTTGGTAAAAGGAACGACAAGACTCACACCCTCTGCCGAAGGTGTGGCCGTAAGTCCTACCACATACAGAAGAAGAGGTGTGCTGGGTGTGGCTACCCCGCTAAGAGAAAGAGGAGATGTGAGTGGGAGGGGATTCAGTATTTAGAAAAATGTCTACTGTGTGTGTGTGTGTCTTAAATTTTATTATTTTAGTTGTATCATTACCTTTTTGTTTCTACTATTAACTATTGTATATATGTCGCCATGTTATCTCTTTCTCTCTCTCTCTCTGTCTGTCTCTCTCTCCCTCCCTCCCACCCCCTCAGTTAATTGGAGTGAAAAAGCCAAGAGGCGGAACACCACAGGCACTGGTCGTATGCGATACCTAAAGATCGTCCACAGAAGGTTCCTCAATGGATTTAAAGAGGGGAGTCAGCCTCTTTCAAAACAAAAGATCAAGTCTATTCGGATTGCCACTCGACAGAGGAAACTACAGAGGCAGCAGCAGCGACCGGCCAAACCAGCTGCTACATAGTGACTGATTATAATTATTAATAATTGTGTCATGTGACATATTATACTATTAATATTCCTGCGTCTCTTTAATGGAAGATCTTAAATATTTCACACAAAATCATTGAAGAATGTATACAATTGGTACACAGGTGCTGTTCATTCAATGGAGGTGTATGCTATAGAGAAGCTGCTTTGCAATCATTGATGGAGTTCATTATTTTCACTGAATTAAAAATTTGTAAAGGCACTAAAGGGCCAAGGGATCGTAGCCCTATGCCCATCCAAAAAATGGCTTTTATCAAGCGTGTAATTTTATATTTAGCTCCAACAGAAGGAGCTGTTTATAAATGCATAAAACTTCACAAGGCTATCGTGGGTTGGCACTAATGATATTCATTGCAATGGACAGGATGTACCTTTATAATGAGGACACTTTGTAATGTCCCAATTGGTACAAGCCTATACAAAAGTACCACTGAAATGAGGACACCTCTGTATTAAGGACAGGTAGTGTGGGCCCAATGGTGTCCTTAATAAAGAGGCTACACTGTACATGTATTAAGGACAGGTAGTGTGGGTCCAATGGTGTCCTTAATAAAGAGGCTACACTGTACATGTATTAAGGACAGGTAGTGTGGGCCCAATGGTGTCCTTAATAAAGAGGCTACACTGTACATGTATTAAGGACACAGGTAGTGTGGGTCCAATGGTGTCCTTAATAAAGAGGCTACACTGTACATGTATTAAGGACAGGTAGTGTGGGTCCAACGGTGTCCTTAAATAAATAAAGTGAGCAAAAACTCTCAATTATTTTAAAATAATGATTAAATGGATGGATGGATGGATAAATAGATGTAACAGAAATCACTCCATAATAATGATCACATAATGTTCAAAATACTGTAAGAATCAGTTAATGATATCACACTTGAACAATGTGACACTAAAATAAATATATACAAGTGTGTGCAGATAATTTTAAAGAACTCTGTTCTTAATAATAATAATAATAATAATAATAACAACAACAACAACAACAACATACCTAGAGTATGATTATGATGATGATACATTTGAATACCTTGTTGATTATAATAACAATAATAATAATACTAATAATAATGTTGATGATGATGATGATGATGATGATGATGATGATGACCAAAGGCAGCTGCTACTTTTAAAAAGTAGACAAGTATTTCTCAATTTCTACACCGTCAAATGTAACTAGGATATCACCAGACCCCTGGGCCCCCTGTGGTGTGTAATAAAATTGCAATCAAAATTACACGGGCAGCTCAAAAATTTAGAAAGGCAACCAGTAAAAAATAGTAAGGTATTAACCCACAACTAACTTTGGCTACTTGAACTTCAACTGCTTTATCAATCAGTACTTCTTCTAAAAGATTTATCTATAGAAAGAAAGAGTCAGAATATAATGTAATGTATGAGAGTTCATAAAGCAGTGAATTACATGTATGTACATGTACATGTACAGTCGGCTCACCGGGTATCTTTTGTTGAAACTCTTCAATTTGAGGACTAACATTGGAACATGTGGGGCCACTATACAATCAATGATGTCATTAATGGGAACCTCCTCCGTGTTACCATAGTCTACAAAATGAACCTAAAAATATAATAATAATAATAATAATAATAATAATAATAATAATAATAATAATTTTTAACCATAACCATAATAATAATAATAATAATAATAATAATAAATAATCTTTATCATTACAACTCACAATGGCTGTTTTCTTGTGTTTATTAAGTTTCAATATGGTACCTCTATACCAGTCTGAGGATTCTTGGTACCTGTATCTAGCGAGACAGGCTTGAGCTACACTCAGCGAGTCAGGATTAGTGCCAGCAGTAGCAGCTGTACCGTACATGGAGACTGCTTCTTCAATGGAGGCTTCTACTTCATTTAAATATTCTTCTACAGAGAGAGAGAGGGAGGGAGGGAGAGTTAAAGGGAAGATAAATTATGTACAAGTAATGCAATTTAGACCACATAAAAAAGGAAATTCTGACACTATAAAATCGCAATTAAATACTCTACCCTACAAAACCCCAAACCTACACAATACATCAAAACCCATTGGAGAGTTTCTTACTGTTAGCGACTGGCTGTCCGTACACATAACCTTTCTCGTTGACCCACGTGATGACAGCATGGAACGAAAACTCTGGCCACACCTCCTTCAAATAAGAGGCCCTCCCTTTCATTTCCACAGGAGCCTTTCGTCCTGGTATCCTGCTCTTTGATTTATGCAGGGGAGAGCTCCTCCCAGACGAGATGGGCGTGGTTTTTAAAGACGTGTCAGGCGTTACCAACGGCGACTGGGTCAGCGGAGACGTACTGGAAGAACTAGAGGGAGGCTTGGTTGCCATGGTGACCTGTTTAGACGCAATGTTGGGGAGGAGAGAGAGAACATTGACTGGATTAAGTTGAGGAGATCGTTTGACAAAAATGTCGACAATGAAGAGTGGAATGCCACATATTTCAAGCTTTTTCTAAAAATGTAAAAAAATCAAAGGAATAAAGATACATGTACAAATTAAGAATAAAAATTTGTTAATAATTTACATGTACATGACTTTAAAAAACACGGAATTTAAACACATATATAAATATTCTAAAATTCCTGATATTACCTTGAATACAACGTTAACCTCCTGGTCAATGACAATCCCAGTGAACTCAAGTGAATCAGTTAGCTCCACCCCACCACCTGCTCCAATCTCAACACCGAACCCATCCAGGGAACAAGGCAGTGCCATTGCTGGTATAGTCAGGGCCACACCCAACATTGGTCTAATGTCACTCACATCAATCTCCTTACGATCACCATAATCAATGAAGAACACGCCCACTTTACGTCCCTGTACAAACTCTATGAAAGCTCTATGGAACCGATGGGTGGAGGAGTAATAGGCTAGACAATAGTCGAGAGGCAGGGGGTAGTAGGAGGGAGGGGGAGGAGGGAGGTTATCAAGGACTGACTCTAGCGTTTGGAGGGTTTCTACATTAGAGGACAAGTGGACGTGGAATTTAGTAAGAGTCTCCACGTGACTGACGATGGCCGGTTTACTGGTACCTTCACTGGGAAGTACTGGCAGAGCTGGTTTGGACCATTCGGAAACAAACCTGAACAATAAAGAGAATGATCCTATGTACATGTAACTGTACTAACCATAAAAGTTTTATAACTGTTACAATAACTACTAATAACTATTAATAAACACTTAATAACTATTAATAAACACTTAATAACTACTACTTAATAACTATTAATAACTACTAACTATTAATAAACACTTAATAACTAGTGCTAATAACACACTCACGATGCTTTCCCCATTTTAATAAGTGCAGGTCCTATCAGACTCATACTGTTGTCCCTCAGTGCTACAGAAATAATGGAACTATCCTTATTTGGAGTAGACACTGGTACTATCGTCATGAGTAGGTCTTTGCCAATATCAGTAGTCATCTTATGGAAAAACTCACACACCTTACAATGGAGGAAGTGAATAGAATAGAATATACACATAACATACATGCATGTACAAGTATATATGGGGGTAATTTTGGAGGACTTTAATTTGTGGTGAATTTCTAAATTTTTGTTGATTGGCAGGTCATAATTTGGCTGACTTGTGTTCAAAATGACTGCTAAAATGTCAAATTATGTAAAAATTCCCTCCTCCGATATTACCAGGTCACTGGTACTGTCTCACCTCCTCAGGCCATGAGAGGCACCCATTGGTCCATATCACATCAACAAGACGGCAGTGAAGAGCAGCTGGTGGTTCGTTAAGCAACGCCACATCATCAAGAGGATAGAGGGTCTTCTTTGGTACCACACAAACATTACCATAATCAAGGAATAGAACCCTGAAACCACCTTTGACCCTACCTGAGTGTACATGTACATACATAGGAGAGAAAGAGAGATAAGGTTTAACATCGGACATCAAGAAAGGATACACGTTATTAAAAATGAGCGTGTCTTGGCCCCTCCCATAGACACACCCTGTTTTCTCTTACTCAAAATTTTTGCTCTAAAATATTCATCTTCGTAAGGAGCAATTACAAGTGACCCAATTTGAAAATTTAAAGACCCCCTGGGGAGTGATATGATTTCTTTTATTTTTGCTGAAATATCAGCTAATCTCATATCGTTAGAATCTGTAGACTGGGAGAGAGAGAGAGGATGATAATAATAAATGATTCTTTTCTTACCAGCTGGACGTAAAAGTCATGAGGACTGCTGGCCGTGATCATAGAGACTCTGTGGGTGGAGCAAAGGGGGAGTGGCTCAACTGGAGGCAATTCTAAAAATTAATATAAAAATTAATTATTAATTATTAATTATTATTTTTAACCTTGTAGAGGAAGTTCTGGTTTCGGATTTTTGCATCTCTTGGCTTTACCCTGTATGACGAGTTGCCTAGCAATGGATAGGCCACCACTGCTTGATGGAATAATAATATCAACAAAAAGGACATTCCCTTCCTTGGAAAAAACCTGAAAATTTATTGTATTTTATAAAAATTTATTAATTTTTTTGTAAAAATTATTTAAAATATAAACTTTTTTTTACAAAGATCAACACTTCAAAATAATAATAATTATAAATTACAAATTAAAATTTAGTAGTAATGATAAAATATACCCACATACCTTCATCTTAATATCGGTTTTATCTTCACAGACGCTCTTAAAGAATGAATTTGCCGAATGGCTCCAAACGTTTTGTGGAGTGATCTGGTACTTGTCATGTCTTCCGGAAGACATCGGCCCAATACCTTCCAACCGACACTTATGAGCAAAAAGAGGAGTATCCTTGAACTTTGACGGGAGATAGAACAAACTATAAAAATGACAAGGGTTGACATGACGACTGTTGCTAAGGCAACCGTTGCTAAGGGTTACCTGTGTACGTTGATTATTTCAGAGTTCCCATAGTCAAGGAGCTGAACAGAAGGGTAGGAGTGATCATCAGAGGATTCAATCTGACAGCGACGGTAAGAGTCTTCACGGACTACAACACAGACCAGATCTACAGGAGAGGGAGGGAGGGGGGTGGTTAATTGGGGAAATTCTCCATTTTTATTACATTTCCTGATACATATACATGTTCTTATGTTGCGTAGAAAGTTTAAGCTGATTCCAATCAAATTTAGATTTTCTATGAATTTTTAAAGTTTCTACAAAATCGGCCCAAAGTCCCTATACTATATCATACAGGGGTGCTGGCCAAATTTTGCCAAAATTTAAAGGGTGAGAATTCTTCATTTTATTACATTTCCTGATACATATACATGTACATACTTTTTTGTAAGCCACTGATCCTCTGAAGTGATTCTCCTTTAAGCTCTGAATGAAAGTGATCCAATGATGGAAGGTCACTGGTGTACTGAATGTAGAACTCACTGGGTGAGTTAATATGACTGACTATGACACCAACAGCTGCAGGAGAGAGAGGGAGAGAGAGAGAGAGAGGAGGGGGAGATTAAGTAGTGACATTAATGTGCAGTGATACATGTACTATATAGGTATAGCTGAAAAATTTGGATGGAATGAATTTTGGGTTTACTTCAACAAAAATTAACACTATAGGCCGCTATTAAAAGAGGTCAAAGTTTAGTCAAAAATTAAAGAATTGTTCTAGCTACATGTGCATATAAATAAATAAATAAATAAAATGGCAGTATTTCTCACCTCCAGTCATATCAGTATCAGTAGGTCCGGGGGTACTTCCCCTACTGCTGCTGCTGGTACAAGAACTGTAACCTCTCGGGACCTTAGGACTGAGAGACGGAGAGAGGAACTGACTGCTAATAGGAGGGGAGGGGCAGGAGGAGGAGAAAAAGAGA